AATTAAAAAACAGCATTAACACAATTAAGTATATTAATGAGATAGCCTCAATTGACAGCAAACTAGCGGAACTATTTGCCCATTACTTTGAAAACATGTTCGAAACACCTAATCTCATCACACTTTAACCATGTAAATGCCCAAATCACTGATAATCCTAATATTTTCATGCCAAGGTTCCCAATCTCTGTTCAGCAAGCTTATCATACCCATAATATATTCACATGGCCTATATCACTCACAAAAATAAAACTAAATTTAAAGAAGATCAAATACAAGGCACCGGGGGAGAATGGTATTAATAACATTATTCTTAAACACCTCTCTGACCCAATTCTAAAACATCAAGTTGCAGTTTAATAACTTGTCACTACTATCAGGATATTATCCCAGCATATGGAAGTCAACTACCACTAAAGTACCACTTAAGAAAGTTAACGATCGAAGTAACTCCAGTAATTACAGACATATCAGTCTACTCAACACGTTAGGAAAATTAATGGAAAAACTCATAACCAACAGACTCAACTGTTACCTTGAAGCCAACAAAATCCAGAATGCAGGTAGGAAAAATAGACAAACATCAGACCACCTAATCAGATTGACTGAATCAGTCCATAAAGGCTTCAATAGAAGACAAACAACTATTGCTACATTTCTTGATATTCAAAAAGCTTTTGATACAGAATGGCATAATGGCTTAAATTACACAACCTTGGTATTCCAACCATTTTAGTATGATGGGTATTAAGTTTTCTTACCCATCGTACTGTCAAATTTAAATTAATGAAGCAATATCTCACTCATTCACACTAGTTGCCGGAGTCTGCACTAAGCCCCACACTCTACAACATATTTGTGAAGGACATACCCTTACCCCCCCCCCCTTTAACGTATATACTAACATCCCAATATGCAGATGACATTGCTATTTGGAGTACATCAAGTAACACACATACTGCCATGTCCAGAGTTCAAGCCTCACTTAATACCATATCAGAATGGTGTAACAAATGGTGTGTAGCCTTTAACTTTACCAAAATACAAGCTATTGCCTTTCACTAGAGAATGAACAAGTCTAGGAAAAAATTTAGGAATTTGAAACTACAATTAAATAATACAACTATAAATTTCTCTAAATATATTAAGTTTCTAGGTCTAACCCTTTTTTTCCAACTTATCCTGGTGTAAACACTTCAATGATATTATCAGTCTAACTAGTGCCAGAATAAATTACCTTAAACGTATCGGTGGCATCAACAAAGGTTGCTCTGCCAAATCCATTACCACAATTTATAAAGCATACATTAGATCCCTTTTCAAGTATGGTAAGGCAGTAGCATGTAACATGACAACCAATGAATATAGAATCTCCAGAACAGAGCAATCAAGATAACTCATAGGTTCCCCAATTACACTCCTTCTGAATACCTCCACTGACTAGCTGAACTACCAATGCTAAAAGAATGCTTCATTCAAATTGCTATCCAATACTATAAATGCACACCAAGAAGGAATATGCAAACACAAAAATTTCCACTAATCGCGTCCACCCCAGCCTCATGGGCGACATATATATCCCCCTTTAACATGATTAACAATATCACAACAGAAGTTAATTATATTTACTTTCAGTTTTGTATATATGCATTAATTCACCATTTCATTTTCAGCTGTGGGCACTGGGCAGGTATACTGATTTGGCATCTGCTCAGTGAAAGTGGTTTTCTTCGGGTACTCTGGCTTTCCCCACCTATAAATTTCTGCTATTGGATCTACAGTTCCCAGGCCCTGAGAAAGACTGCAACTAGTATGCTTAACTCATAATTTTTAATTATCTAAAACCTTTAATTAAAATCTTTAATTAATATCCTGTAAGTTTAATCTAAAAAATCCTGAAAGTCAAAAATATACTATCTTATTCCATTATATGTTTTAATTCTTCAGTTATTTCAACCTAACGTAATATCTTAAAAGTTAAAACTCAATTTTGTTGTATTAACCGATTCAGTTTAGCAGCTGTGCTGCACACTGCATCTCTGTGCTCATTTCTCCATCACCGACAACCTTCACTGCCTGATGTCATCACCGTCAATCAAGACATGTTCTCCTCCTCTTCTTTTCCTTCATCACATCAAACTCTTTACTGCTTTCCCTGGATGATTCTGTGGCAAATTAGCTAGATAGCAATGTACCCATCCAAATTACGAATTAATCCTAGAGTCCCTGTCAATTATTTGTTCAAAAAGTACGAAACACTCGATTAATTATTGTTATGTATCATACCTATCACGCAGTTCATAAAACCTTTTTATCCCCAGTAGATTTAAATTCTTAATTCTGCACTTGGGGCTGAAGAGAAACAACAGTTTCTGGGAACCCCTGGTTATCTCTCAAGCCCCTTCGGGGCATGTTAGATATAAAACCTAAATTTCTGCCATGTTAGTTAGTTAGAATAAGCTTTACCAATGCCTAGAAAGCAAATGAAGGTTGAGATAGCTATGGATGAAAGGAGGTAGTACCGTTTCAGAAGATATGTATCACATTGGAAAACATAAGGTGTACATACATGTATGTATAATTTGTACCATGTTATTGGAGAGAAAAAAAAAAGAAAATCAGCTGAATGTTAAAGATGAACCAAAACCCAAAAATTAAAATACAGATAAAGAAAAATATTTGTCAAAACAGCAAATTTTGTGGAATGTAAGTCTACTGAATACACTTGAAAAGAAAAAATTTATAATAAGCACTCACATTTATGTTGTTTCATTGGAACTTTAGGCAGAGTAAACATAGTAAGTCTGAGAAACTTAATTGACTGCAGCTACCTTCTGAATGAAAACAGATACTGTTTTGGCTTCTACACTGAGGCCATCTTCAGGACTTGAAGAAAGTCTCAGTACAGATGCTGAAGCATCATCCCTTTTAATTCAACAGGCAGATACAGTCCATTAAGTTTTTCAAACCTACTCAAAGTTATATTTCGAAAGATAATGCTACATTGAAGATTTTCATTTTTGTGTATATATATATTAAAACATATTATGTAATGAAATATAAGTAACCATTCTTTATACATAGCTTTTGAAACTGAAAGTAAGAGAAGGTTGTTAATTTATAACAGAAGTTATATTAATATGCACATATGTTCAACATGAATGAGAAAAATCTTTAGCAGAATGAGAATGGATTTAATCAATATGCTCCTGCATGATGGCCTATTTTTCATAAACAACTAATATAAATGCATAATACCATACTAATATTACCAGCTCAAATCTTATTCAGATAACATTCTATGAGTGGCATGTTGTATATGTAGGCAACACGTATTTCATGAAAAAGAATTAACATAAATTTTTTACTGTACAGCATTTTGAAAATAAAATATACATTTGTCTGCAGGAAATGCTTCAAGTTAAATCACATGATGGTGTGTGTAGCTGATCTTCTGATCAGTCATTGATTGTAATATGTAGCTAAAGCATACAACTGTAGAACTGAATCCATAATAGAATACTTGAAATCAAAGACAGCCTATCAAGTTGTACTTGACTGGCTGTACCACATGTCATGTCACCATGCCAATGAAATGATACAAAACTTTTAAGGAATTATATTACTAATAGTGTGGTCTTACTTGCTTGTCTTCTGCAAACACTTTACAGACAAAATATTCATTTCAAGAAAGTAAATTATTTAAACCAAAAATCAGAAAAATTTTGAGGAATTATATATGCATATATAAATATGTTTATTTCTGGTACATTTTAAACCTTATAAAGCAAAAACAAAATGCTTCATAAGTTACAACAGTGTTATCAATCCAACATTGTTTGCCTTCAAAGTTTAAATAAGGCAGCTTGTCCATATATACACCTGGAAAAAAGTT